AAAGTGAAAAGTGTCAAAAATCAAAATGGTAGACATCATAAAACTGATGGTACTTAGGATGATGATTGTATCTCATTTTAAACAGGAGAAAAACAATAATATTTATCAATCGTAAAAAGTGTTTAATAAAGGGCATCTGTTTCTAACCTTGTATATTTCATGACAGTAATCATTAAAAAATGAGCGCATAAATAATCCGCTCTTAAAAAACTATTGACTTTTGTATTCGACAAACTGAGGACTACTATTTATTGTAAAAAAAAAAGAATAGATGACCTGGTATAGACGGCATAAGATAATGTGTCTTCTTTTGTATTTATCAAAGTCAAAGTCGAGTAATTATATTTGAAAAGTTAATTTGTTTAATAAAAAAAAACACAATACGTACACGGAAAGAGAGAGAGAGAGAAGCGGAAAAAAGAGGGAAAAAATTATAAAGTTTTTATGATTATCACATGTAAGTGACATTAACAACATGATAGATATTGGGTTTTTTTATTTGAGTGCTATTATGATACATGATATTCTAATATCATAGTTACTTATTTTAACCTGATAAATACGTTATATACATATATATATCAATTAGGATCATATAAACAAACACTGTGGTGTGTGATTAGTATATTCTGTTATTTGATACCGATACACAGTATGGTACCGCAAGTTTGTAATTTTAGATTTTTTTCATTGTCCATAATTTTTTTTTGTAACAAAAACATTAACAATTAGAGAGATTTCAATCAAGGCAAAAAAACTGGATACATTTAGTCAAGTTAGAACGTTCGAATTTCTTAGTAGAGATTTAATTTTACATTTTCTTGACAAACATACATATCATTGACTAAACATGTCAATTTTCGACATGAGACATTCATCGGTTAAAATAACCTTATCTTAAATCAACTTGTTTTCAATTGAAAGAAATGAGTACTATCTAATATAAGAATACATATTAAATGAACGATCTACGCTCAAAGTCAAACGAATTTGTTAGTAGTGTAGGTTTAGACGAAACGTATTTGTCCGTTTCTAAGAAAGATAATTTATGTTTAACAGAAAAAAAACAGTCTTCTTCTTCTTCTTCTTCTTCTTCTTTCCCTTTCTCTCGTGCCTATATCAATCTGTGTTTCGCGTCATTTTTGACATGATTTTTTGTCTTCTTTCTCTTTCATGCTGAAGTAGTATGATGTTGTAGTTTTGATACAATACGTTTATTAACAAAATCAATCAAAATCAAAAATATATCTATCTATTTTCCAATAGGAACATGAACAACAAAAGAGGATGTCTCCCAAAGATTACATTGCTTAAATAATGAACTATTTCCTTCTATAGAGAACTCTGTCAATTACTTCTAACTTCCATAAGAATAAAGGACATATTTTTTCATTCAGATATCTTATTCTATCTTTTTTTTTTCTTTATTTTTTCTTCTCTTCTCGAATAATTTATTCCAATACAAATAAAAAGAAAATCATACAACACGATTTTTATTCTACTGATCAAATAACAGACAATTCTCTTTTTCTAATTAATTAAAATATATTAATTATTCTATTGTTGTTCTATTATAAAACATGATATTCAATGGTTTAAATTTTAAAATTTTTTTATTATAATGAAATATTATCTAACCGTTAAAGATGTGTGTATGCTTGAACACTTCGCTTCGAGATATTCAGTGTGATTATTTTAACCTATTTAAAGACGAGTAACTAACATGTAATTCATTCATTCTTTAACAAATCTATCTAGTAACCGTTCAAATGTCTATATTCTATAAAAAGGTAAGCTGTTAATGTTATTTGGTTAAATAAAATTTATAAAGTACGAACATTTCAAAGATTAGAATATCTGGATACCATGATTTTACTATCTCGTTATCTTCTTTTGATTGACGATAATTCGTTTTGCTCTATATTTTTTTGCAAATGGAAAAGTGAAAAGTGTCAAAAATCAAAATGGTAGACATCATAAAACTGATCTACTGCTGTTAAAGTATCTCAATCAATCACAAAATCTTTCTCTACGTTTCATAAGTCAAAATGATGAATAGTAAACAGATAGTACGATTATGCTATTAAAATAAAACGTATCTCGTAATACAACGGACTTATAAGAAGGCTGAGATTCGTCCATGGAATATGTTCAACAATTTAGACGTCTGTAATTAATTTACATATTGTTCTCGAATGACACTGACGGGAGGAAGGGGATAATTATCTCGAGGAACTTATTAACATCAGATTATGATAGTTGTTCGAATGAAAACAATGTGCTTATTTCGTGCATGTTTTTGTTTTCTAGCAACTCAAAAATTTATTCGATAAAAGTATGTAGAATGTGTACAGTGAACATATTAATAGCATTCTACATTTATAGTGTAGAATGCTCGCTATAATGTGTAAAATAGTGAATATTTTGATAACTGAAGATTGCCTAAATAAAACAAAAATGTATTCTGTTTGAATTTAAACTTTCATCCAATAAATTTCTGTTATAAGAAAAAACATCAACACATTGTTTTCGTTTACTAAAATACTATAATTTTCGTCATTTTCTAACTAAAAAATATATCGTAATAGGATAAAGATCTCGACTATGAGTTCCTCAAATGTTTTTACTCTGTAAAAGAGTTTTAACATGAATTTTTAAGTATATGCAACATTTTACTATTAGTTTTTAAAAAAACGTATACTTGTTTTTTTTTAACTTGATTATGTTGAATTAATTCATTCCAATTAAAATTTTGTATATTCTATGCATTGGTATTTTATTCTATATTTATCAATATGAAATAATTACTAGAATAACAATTTATATTTAACATAACTGTTTTAAATAAAATCCATTCCCACAGAGAGAGAGAGAGAGAGAGAGAGAGAAAGAGAGAGCTCTAGTACATCTTTTCAAATGACGATGCCGTATTTTTTTAATGAATTACGACAAATCAAAGTTCATTTAAATTAAAACTCAATACTTATAAAAATAAATCTATCATTTTATCATATATTTTGATTCAATTTTCTAATAATCTAGAGTCTTTTAAATATAATTTATTTGTTTAGACATTTATTATTTATCTTTTCAAAATATGAACAGTAATACGTGTATTTTCTTTAGTCTTGAAAAAAGTATATCAATTTTTAGTGAAAAATTCTTGAGTTATTAAAAAATTTAACAAAAATATGTTATTTATCAATTTTATAATTTCGAATGACTTTAACGTTATCTTTCTAATTGTTTAGATGTTATTCATATAAACAAAATCGTCTACTATTATTATTTACCGATAATATTATAATATTTCTATTGGATGATTGTTTAATACTGAATAATTTAAATCAAAATGAACGTATCCATACTGTCGAAGAATGAAACAGGATGGGGACATTTAATTGAACATTTTTGCATTGATATTGTTATGCCAATTGCTGTTGGTGTAGGTATTATTGGAAATTTATTAAGTATATGTGTATTTTCTCGAAGAGAAATGATTAAATTTTGTGTAAGCATACTTACAATTGTATTATCATTAAGTGATATTTTATTATTAACAACATCAATATTTAACATAATAGTACCAGCCTATAAGCATTATCAATTTGCTGATAAATATTTGTTCTGGTGGTGAGTATAATTAATTATAAAAAATAAAAAAAATAACGTTTAAATTTAACATCTATTGTTTATGTGTGTGTGTGTGATTTTTATTTTCTAGTCATTTTCATGGTTATTTTGATTTATTGTTTGCATCAATAAGTGGTTATTCCATGGTATTCATTTCTGTTGAACGATGGTTCTCCGTTTTAAAACCATTTGACAAGGCCAAATATATTACATTTAAATCAACGATAACAACAGTTATTATTTATATTATTGTATCGGCAATTGTTTGTTCATGGTTTCCATTAATACTTAAATTCGATCCAAATCATTTAGATCCTAATCAACGTTGTCGACTATTAGAAAAATTTGGTAAAATTTTTACAATATCTGGTACTATTAATGTTATCTTTACATATATAGGTATATTAAAAAAAATAATGTTTTGAATAAATAGAATGTTTTGTTTCTTTTTATGTTTTCTTTTTCTTTTAGCTCCATTTACTATTCTTGGAATTTTAAATTCATTTATTATTCATCGTTTACGTGCTAGACAACATAATTCAATACGATCAACTCCAAGTGATCATGTCTCCTCATCAACACGAACAAGAACGCGTCATCGACATAATGCAGATCGAAATATAACATTTATGTTAATAACAGTCGCTCTTGCATTTATGTTCATGAGCTTTCCTTACCAGTAAGTAAAATTCATATAATATTCGTGAGAGGGAGAAAGAACACACACATATTTATTGTTATGACAATGGATTATTAGTTTATTTATTAATCCAAATCATTTCTACTTGTCACAACTCGTCAAATGAAAAAATATTTGTTTTTTTTTAGAATTTATTGGTTTTATTTACAAATATCTCAAACAAAATCGAATAAAACACTTTATACATTAACTCAAACATTTCGCAATTTAAATTGTATGATCAATTTTTTTCTATATTCTGCCACATCGTCATTATTTCGTCGTGAATTAAAAGAAATATTTCATTGCTGTTATTTATTATCGTCATCAAAATCGAACGGTGGACAAACACTAACAGCAAAACTAAATAATAATAATAATAATAATAATAATAATAATAATAATAATAATAATAATAATAATAATAATAATAATAATAACAATAATAATAATTTATCATCAACAACGAAGAAGAAAATAAATGTTGAATTAAAGAAAAAACTTTCTAATACAACAACAACAACAACAACGACTAATTCTGCAAAATCTGTAATAAAAACTCGACAATTAACAATAAGTTCAGAAAACAATCATTTATTAAGTGAATGTATTGATATTGAGCAAAATAATGATAATAATGAAAAACAATGAAAATCATTTGCGAATGTGATCAATGTTCACCGGTGAGTTTTAAATGAAAATGTAGCTTATATTATATTAAAATGTAAAATTTCGTGTTACATGATACTAAATTGTTTTTGCCATACTTATCCGTCATATTGAATGTCTTTTTGTATAATAGCTCTTTTTTTCTTTTGAAGATGTCTATTTTTTATTTGCTCATTTCAGTTGCATAAATATACCATGTGTGTATATGAAAACAAACAGTTTCAGTTAAAAAGAAATTGTAGAACTTCATCTATTACACAAAATCATTTTAGCGTAATGAGTAAAAAATTCTAGTAAGAATGAATGAACTATTTTTTAGAGTGAGTTCATGTAACAATTCACAAAAAGAAAAGGTCAACTGTTGGAGAAAGAAAATTTAGACTACCACTGACATTTTGTATACGTTATTGGAAACAGTATTAGGAAAAATTTCTCATGTGATATATTCGCTTTTTATACTTGTTTAATCAAAAAATCAAATTTCTCTATGTAGAAACACTTTTTTTAACAAAAACTTGATTTTAAGATGAATTGAGAAGATAAACTAGTTTTATTCTAAAAATGTTTGCCAGTATCGACATACCAACGTGATTATCAGAGAAATTATTCAGAATTGAATGTGTCTTGTGAAATATGAGCGTTTTCTGTTAAAGATGAATAAAAATAAGTGATGAAACTAAAATTGCTGATTTTGATTGTAAATCCAGTGTATTCGTACGATAAGATATTCAGGGTGTTCTAACGGTGAATCGAAAAATTGTCGAAATTCCGAAAGAATTTCAACAATAATAATTATTACTCTATTACCAATTCTACACGTAGTAATGCTAGAGTACAAATAAAAAAATACGATCATCGGGAGTATATAACTTTTATTGACATTTTGACAATTGCTAAAATTCTAGAGGAAATTTGACAATATTGTCGATATTGCGGAAATTCAGGTGGCAAAATTCCGGTTGACAAAATTCCAGTAATCCGTTTTAATCTTATAAATTTTAAAATCTTTCACCAGTCGTTTTTTTTTTAGAACACCCTGAATATCTTATGAAAGCACGTAAGAATACACTGGATTTACAATCAAAATCAGCAATTTTAGTTTCATCACTTATTTTTTATTCATCTTTAACAGAAAACGCTCATATTTCACAAGACACATTCAATTCTGAATAATTTCTCTGTTAATCACGTTGGTATGGCGATACTGGTAAACATTTTTAGAATAAAACTAGTCTATCTTCCCAGTGAATGTACTGCATCCAAAAGGTACCTAAATACTGAGTAAGTCTCTGAAAAATACCCATTCAGAGACTGATAAAAATTTTTTATTAAAAATATTGATTATGTTTTAAACAGACTAATTGAATTACTGGAAAAAAATGTAATAAGGTGTCTGTGCATGTTTCAATTACCAGTTTGTTTTACATGATGTATTATATACAGACACCATTTATTTTTGTAAAATAATAAATTTCTGTTCGCTAACACGTAAACGACTAATGTGACATGTAAAAGATCGAATTGTCTGTTGCCATAGTAGTTACTAGCAGATAGCCTATTTAAAAGTCATTATTAATTGTCTCAATTGTATAAAAATATGTTGCCTCGATTATATGAAAATATGTTGCCAGGTTATCCTTTTAGATCGTCAAATACAAAAATGTACTACTCCAGAATACTTGGATATGCACACTCACAACGTTCCTTAAAGTATTTGAAACTTCTTTTAAAATATCAGTTAATATTGGAACAATTAGGACAAGTGAAGTATTTTTCTGTCAGATGGTAATATTTTATTATTAAACTATTGATCTGATCAGTTTTCTTGTTTACAAATAGCGAACAAAAATATATACAATGAAAATTAATTAACAAGAGAAAATTTACAGTTTTTATTTTTATTTATCACGGCTACATTTAGCACCACCAATTTCAATATTATTGAACGATGATCGATGTATGAATATGAGAAATTATTACAAAGTTGATAAATATTGAAATCTAGCACCAAAAACAAAAGGCGAGTCATTCATGAGTAAATATAATGACGATTTATGTTGACTTTTCAATATATTTTGGTATCTCTTTTGCTGCATTTAAAATTCTTCTAATATGACCCACTTTCATAATTCCAAGTTCCTAGATAGATTATCAGAGATGTTAAACAATTCTTTTTTTTATTTTTTAATCAATTATAAAATACAAACTTTAAGATCTCGTCGTTCCAAATGTTTAAGTTCTGTGCCTCGAATATCATGTCGAATAAAGGCACTTTTATATTCTCCAAGTGCAATAGCATCCAACCATAATCCAACTTGCTCCTCTGCATCCCAACATTCTAATGGAATTGCTGAAAAATAAAATAAAATTTATGATATTTTCTTTATATATTGAATAGTGCAAATACACAACACCACTTTTTACTATCTGTCTGATAATGAAAAAAGTTTGAAAATTTGTTACTTTTCGTTTATAATCCGTGATATGGGGAGAAATAACATTAGAAAAATCTTATCACATTCAATATCGATAGGTATTATAATTACTCCATAGTGCTTTTAAAAGATCTCGGTCATCTTTATGTTTTGCTTTTGAGCGTTTAATTTTTGATACCAAGTTAAATTTTGGCTGTTGCCATCGTCTATGAGCAAAATCGGTATCATCCTATTTAAACATAAAAAGAATATTTTAATTCATAAAATTTATTTAATTATTCCCTTTACTTACCTCATCTTCATTTTCTCTTCTAATAATTTTTCCATCACTGCTTTTCGTTATTATTCGTAATTTTTCAGTCATATCATTGATGACATGTTTGAGTTTAGTCAAAGTTTCGCGGTCTATGGCAAAATCGGCTGATGTTCTCTTTTCTGTTAGAAATAGAGCTGTTTCTTGATTTAATGTTTGTATACTGTTAATGAAATCCGATGCTTTCTGTCGTATACAAGGCTAAAATGTCAAGATAGAATTTAAGCTTTTAAATAGTAGATAAAATATTTTCAAGTCATTTAATTTTTAATATTGATAAATTACAAGAGTTTAGTTTTTCATAGAAATAGTTTCTACTAGCTTTTGATTATTTGAATAAACAATTTTTATTTCAACTTACATCGAGCAGTTTTTCACCTCCATAAATCTGTTCTAAATGTGTTGAAGCTTGTTTAGCATAATCATGAAGTTCTGTTTCAAATAATGGAAATTTTAGTGCAATTGTTTTAACTCTATAAATTAAAAATAAATAAATAAATAGATAAATATTAAACGTTTGAATGACGATTCGTATTATGTACCTTTTAATGAGTACTACGGCTGTTTCAATTAGTAAGCCAATATTTGTACTTTCATCTTTTGTCAACCAAATACCATGTGTTTCTTGTTTTATTGTAGACCATTCTTTCAGTGTATTTTCAAATGCCTGTATAAAAAAAAACGTGTACAATAATCAGTAAAATCTATAAAATAAGAAATATATTTTTTTTAATGTACCTTATCACGGGATAACATTTGTGCACGATTTTTATGAACAATTTGAATTTGTCCTGGACTTTGTAACCATGCCTCACCATCAACTTGAACAGGAATACTTGATTCACCTTGTATTATAATTCTAACTATTCGACACTACAAATAAAAGAGAATATATTAAACTAATTTTTAAATATTTTAAATTGTACACACTTGAGCTATTCGATTACTTCGAATATTCATTACACGTGAAACAGCTAAATGAATACATCCTGTTACGGCAACAACTTCCAATAGTTTATCATCAAATGATGGTGTAACAAATGTCTAAATCAAATTAAAATATAACTGATTTAATTTAACATAATATAAATTTTTAACATACATCATTTTCTCTGGTGGCTACGGATGAATCACCCCAAAAGTCTACTCCACCCGAATAACTTGGTATATTTAGAACAACAATGCCTATTTAATGAGAAAAAAAAGAAAAAAAGATTAGAAAATATGTCATATATGACATATTTTTTTCATGCTATGATAACATATCATTTTTTTATCTAAAATAGAGCTTACAACAAACACATATAGACATTTTACTAAAGTACCATGAACATTTTTCAACGGTATTCGTGTTTCATCACAAAGAAGAATCACACGTTCTTCTAAATTTTGACATGAACGTTTTAAAAATTCACGTCCACCTATCCATCCAAACCACATTTGATTTTTTAATCGACTTCTACATTGTTCCGGATGTTCTTCTCGTTTTAAATGAAAATCAAGGCAAACTTTAGCATCTAAACCAATTCCAAAATAATTATTCATAATAACTTTTTCCGTAAAATATTCACTGTATAAAATTAAATAAAAAAGAAAATTGTATGATTAAATATCTATTCAATTTTAATAGAAAATAAAATTTAAATTACATTGGTATATTTTCATATGTTGGTAGAGTAATCAATGCTCCAAATAAATCAGATGATGCTAATAGTGCTTGACCAATAAAACTTCGTGATGGTGATGCTAAAATAAAAGTGTTACTATTTCAAGAAATGATATATATTAAAAAACATAGTACAAATACAAAAATGTTCAACTCACATGAAAAATATGAAAATAATTTTGATGCTGATGAACTTCGTGAACCAGCGCTACCTCTACCACTTTCTTTCGAAGGTGAACGACTACGAGAACGAATATTAGATGCAAATGAACTTAATCCTCTTCTACGACCATTTGAGTCATTTTCAAACACTAAAATAGAATAAAAAGATGAAAAAAATTTTTCAAAAATAATTTCTTAATATTTTACTAATTGAATATTTTTTTGATATTCTTGGTGATGGTGTTCTCGATAAAACTGTCGATGAATAGATACTTGATGGTGGATAATGATCTGGTGATAAATAGGCTTTAAAAAAAGAAAAAAAAAAGAGAAAAAAAAATGTTTCATACATTTAGTTGAATGATGGTAATACTTTCATTACTTGAATAACCGGTACTATGTGTTGTTAATAAAGGCTTTTTTTGTATACTAGTATCTTCTAAACTTTCATACGATGATCCAATTTCACTACTATTAACATTTAATAATTTTTTACCACAGAATGATAAGGATGAATCGGATGATGTTTCATCATCATTACTAGAATGTGAACTATTACCAGAAATACTAATGGAAGGAATACAAAATTGTTGTTCAGCCAATAATAAATTTTTATTTGTATTTTGATTAAGAGATATTTGCTGATTAGATAGATTTTCTATTGTAGTACTATGATCATCATTATTAGGTGTTTGATTATTATTCAAAAAACATCTAGAATAATTATTAAATGAGAATATTAATTTAAATAATAAAAATTAAATGAAATTTTAAAATTATTCTTACATTTCATCAGATTCTTCTAAGTTTTTTAATAATGGTACTGTTGGCGATCGAACTGATATACTTGGACTTGATACAATAGAAGGTTCTTCCGAGGCTAACGGTGGTATATTAGTTGATTGGTGATAATCATTCAATTCAGATGATATTGATTCGTTTAATGTTGAATCGAGAATTGTACATGATGATGATCTAACTCCAGGATGAACCGTACTTCTTTGTTCAGAAATATCTATAGAAAAATAATATTAATTCTATTTTTTGACAATTTTTATTCAAATATCAATTTACCCCTAATTTTTGCTGGCAAAATTTCACGAAGAGTAATTAATTCATCTTTAGATTTTTTTCGAGTAAATGGTAATTCTATTTTTGTAGGTATGCTTGAATAATTTTCAAATTTTCTATTAGATTGATTAACTAAAATTTTAAAATATTATATCAATTGAAAAACATATTTTCAAAGAAAGAAAATACCTGTTTGTGTTAAATCAAGAACTTGTTTTAACGCTCGTTGTAAACTATTAGCACGATGACAAATTTGTTTACGACGATGAAAAATTCTTGTCGGCTGAAAATAAATCGTTTATCTTATATTTAGATAATGACAAGAAACAACTACGTACTCGATCTCCTGAACAACTCGTTGAACTCAATTCATGATCACTGTCTTGCTCCTAAAACAGTTTCAGAGTATATTAATGTAAGGGTAATCCACAACCATTACAAAATATTTTTATTTCCGATTGAAACATAGTCTCATGTAGAATACGAGAGCTTACAAAATAAGATTATTTTCATTGTTTCACAATCTTTTTTTTGCAAAAATCATGAGGTTTTTAAGTTTTTGCTCAAGAGACTGACAGAAACTTAATTGTTTTAGTTGTCTTTCGTTTCCAGTGTCTTCGAAATTATTTCGTACAGATAATATGATCGAGCAAAAGATTCTCTTCATACGCCTGCCTTTTCTGAAAAATTCGCTAGTTTTTCGCGAAGATAGGCAAACGCCCTGAACTAAGTGCCATATCTAATGTTATCTGTAACGCTGGAAACACTGTTGGTTTCAGTCATGTTACGGTTCGTCAAACAAAATGATCCAGTTCAAGTGTAAATTTATTTATCAGATATACCTCAGATCCTTTCTCAGATTCCAAATTTTTTAAAACTGTTTACAACTTCAACTTGCATCGTGAGAAGATTTTCAAAATCATTTTTACACAGGATTTTCAGAATTTTCGAATATTCAGAGAAAAAAAGCATATTTTCAAAAAAAATTAAAATCTAAGGCAAATTCTGAAGTATCTATGGTAAAAATTTTGGTTTGATCGGACCTTTGCTTTCATCTTGGTTAGCAGGGTGAAAAAAAGAGGGAAGAGGTATTCTTTAAACAGGCACGAATGACTAAATCTAATTAAAGGAATTTTATATTTCTCGAAAGACATTTAAATGTGCAAACAAAGTACCGTTAAATTGTCAAAATTTTTTAAACTATGTTTTAATGTTGATATAAATGAATCTAATTTGACTTTGAGTTGTCCACACTAGAACATACAATTAATTCCTAGTTTAAAAGAATTAAATTTTTAGTCGAAAATTTAGTTTACCTTTTTCATATAACCATTATCTGACATTTCTTTACTATTTTTGAAACGAGAAATTAATTGATTAATCTCGCTCGTAACAACACTAATACAACATAAATAATATATATGTAAAAATATATATATATGTGTGTGTGTGTGTGTGTATGTGTATGTGAGGATGAGAATGTGTCAGGAATTTCTTACCTTGAGGCAAAAATAACCTCGGACGATTTATCTGACTGAAGTATTCTTCCAATATGATGTGATATCAGGTCATGCACTGCAAATATATTTTCTTCTGAATCTCGTCTTTTACATGTAAGCGGTTTTTCGTGTATCAAGATACTCCATCTATTAAAACAAAAAAAGTAGTTTGCTTTTACGCATAAGAATCAACAATGAAACTAATAGTCTGTAAGTCACTTTTACCTGTCTAACATTTTTGTTGTTGCATGTTCAAACGCATCAAGTAATTTTGGTAATTGATTTTCATCATCGAGTACAGATCCCCATCCAAAAACTCTAGCCAAATCTTTGAGTAGAAAAAATACGTAAAATATTAATTTTAATTAAAAACATATGTCAATGATACCCACCATTGCCTGTTCCTAATGGTAGAACACCTATTCGACACTAAAACATTAGACAATGTATAAGAATAGCTCAAAACTATAGGAGAATTGAGATGACTGACATTCTTATGGACATTTGTTTTATCCAATTGCCGTAGCACCCATCCAACTGATCCATCGCCACCGCATACCAAAATACGGAAACAATCGCATTCTTCAAACATTCGAAATCTAGAATATTAGACAAGTTTTTTTGTTTATACTATTTACAAGAATAAGAGTGACAAATTAACTAACCCTGTTTCAGGACCACCATTCATCAAATCAAATACTTGCGCTGGATTTAACAATTGTTTAAATTTTCTCAAAAATTTAACACCCTGTCAATGAAAACAAACTTTGATGAAAGAAAATATATTTTTAAATTATATTCTATACCTGATTATCTCCACTTTTTGAATTGACAAATACTAAAAGTGGACTTCCTTCAGTGCGTCTGGCACGAACAAATCCATCTGGATCAATACACTGAATGCACATTGGTGATAACACACTTAAACGGCTTATACCCAATGTACATGTTTTAAAATAGTATTCACGACAATGTTGATGAATCTTGAAGAGAACGAATAAATCATAACAAAGTAAATTTTCTGTTCATAATTTCTTATGTAAATTTCTTACTGTTACTTTACACCAAAGACATTTGAAATCTTGTAAACGTAACAGACTCCCACATGCTTTGTCACAGTAGATACATTTGGCATTCAATGGAAGATTCCCTTCTAACCACTGATGTGGCATACTAAGAGTCTAATAAATTGTGAATTTTCAACACAAGTTCAGATTTATCTATATCTCTTGTCTTTTTTACTTACTCCATCATCATTTTGTATGACATTTGTTCCAATCAATGGCAGCATTGTCCATTTACAATTTTTTGGTGCACGAGCAGCGCACCTTTTATGCGTTTTTAATTTGCATACTAAATATAGTAGATATAAAATTAGCATAAACGAACATTTGTGTTCAGAAAGATACCTTCGCAACACAATACGTGTGTGTTAAGACTAAGTCTACAAACGTTGCACCACGAAGGCCTAGCATGAGTACAAATATACCAACAGTGCTGACCACTTGAAATTTGTTGCTCATGGCCAGCCTTCAAAAGATAAAGCAAAAAATGAAAAATTATATTCAATAATTAATTGACTGACAACATTTGCAAAGAAGATTCTTGTGCAGAAACAGGAAAATCTACTACTAACAATGGAACGGTTTGTACTGTCAAGCCGCTTTCAAGTTCGGAGCATGTGTATTAAATAGACCCCAGTGAGGTATAAAAAACCCCAAAAGGCTATGTGCTGATGGGCCTTTCCTCCAGAGTTACAGTCATTATACTGGAATTTTAGCCTATTGCATGGTATCTACCAAAACCACTAACCACGATATTTCGACCTGAAATTTTTCCCACAAGTAGGCCTACTTGTAACTAGAATGTTCTGCAAGTTTCAGTTCAAAAGAATGTTCCCTTCTTGAGATATTGAATTTCCAAAATCACTCATGCTCTACGAAAAGATTGGAGAATGTCAGGTTTTTGGGAAACTCAATATCTTATGAAGGGAACATTCTTTTGAACTGAAACTTGCAGAACATTCTAGTTACAAGTAGGCCTACTTGTGGGAAAAATTTCAGGTCGAAATATCGTGGTTAGTGGTTTTGGTAGATACCATGCAATAGGCTAAAATTCCAGTATAATGACTGTAACTCTGGAGGAAAGGCCCATCAGCACATAGCCTTTTGGGGTTTTTTATACCTCACTGGGGTCTATTTAATACACATGCTCCGAACTTGAAAGCGGCTTGACAGTACAAACCGTTCCATTGTAAGATCATTCGTGTATGTGACTGAAAAATTGTAAAATGTAGGTAAAATCAAAAATATTCCAATTAATACCTCCAAAGAAGTCTGTGTTGCTCCATTTTTTAAAGCCATAAGCCATTCTTCCATGTCATGTCTGGACTCTGCACACAATATCCAGTTGACAGTTGATGAAATAAGCTATAGGTAAATGGGTATGAATGTTAGTTCATAACTCTATTATAATTGATTGTTATACTATATGTGTGGTTTTTGAAAAAATTGAATTACATGCGCATTTTTTGAACAAATCATCCTCTTTCTTTTATTCTTCTTCATTTGCCGTTTGTTTGCATGTCAATTATCAGTGACAATGACTACAATATTATTAACGCCTATCTATTCAGCTTTTTTAAGGAGATGATAATAATTTCGGATGAATTCATTTGAAAAAAAAGGGAAGGAAAAATGACGGCAACATGGCATGTAGAAGAAACACATACATACATAAAGAAATTGCGCTGTTGAATAAACGTTATCAGTTATAAAATGTTCAAAACCACATCAAAATTTTACGCATAAATTGTTTTTTCCTTTTTCATTAAGATATTGTTGTTATTCTTCTGTATGTGTTCATCCAACTAAAAGCATCTTTCTCCGCCTATCTTTTTCTTACTCAAAATATAGAATTTTCTAGAATATTATAATTTCAAAGAAATAACTTGCATAAGAGACAAATGTATGCCTTAGAAGACCTGTCATAACGTATGTGTTCGACTATCGTTAAAAATTAACTGCTACTGATGAGATTAATTTCAATGCGTACGGCTTCAAAAGAAAACTTAGTTTAACAACTAAAGTAAAATGGAAATTGTTTTCCATACGTCCTATTCTATGCAGGAATGAAAGTAAAGAGATGCAGCAGATTTTTTATTTTATTAGAACTGCCATTAAACAAGTTTTAAAAGTATAAATCGCTTTGTTTCCATTTTGCTTTGTCACTGAGAAGATTCGTTTCTTCTAACTCTGAAACAAAAATATCGAAATTTCGTCCATAATTCTCAGTTTTCTCCATCAGAACTCATTTTTACACAATACAAATATCATATTCGACGTCAGCGTAAGAAACTGAGTCGACTAATGTGTATTTCGAAGTTTTTCATTCATTTTCATTTTTTGGTGAAAATCTCGGTCATTTTTCGATGTGAAAATTCGATAACAACAAAAGTAGTCGGCTAGGATAAGAGAAGTATATCATTCGACTCAGTTTTTGACGCTGACTCCGAATATGATATTTGTATTGTATAAAAATAAGTTCTGATGCAGAAAACTGAGAATTATGAACAGAATTTCGATATTTTTGTTCCTGATTTAGAAGAAATGAATTTTTTCAGTGATAAAACAAAATGGAAACAAACCGATTTATACTTTTAAAGCTCGTTTAATGGCGGTTCTAGTAAAATAAAAGATTGGCTCCATCTCTTCACAAAAAGAGCTAGAGAGGTTTGCAAAACTTTGTACAGGGTGAGTGCATACTGGATAGATCTTTAACTTCAACCTCGACCAACCATCATTCTTATACTCAGTGTTTGATACTGAATGTGAAAAAGATACGTTTGACAAATTAGAAGAAAAACATTTGAACTTTTTAGAAACGAAAGGCTTTTCAAAAGTTTAGATTCGTTGAATTTTTTTTAATTTTTCTTTCTTAAAAGAATTTTTAAAAAAATTAAAAACCATTTTTCTTAATTAGCTCGATGTGCTCTATTCAACCATGTGTAAATAAATAAAAGAAAGGATGGGTTATGATTTTGAATTTCCGGCACCTTACATCGCACTATAATCGAAAACTTTTCTAATGCATCATTGGAAGCCTTTAAAGATTTCTGTTGTTTAGTTACTAAAAGGTTCTGATCATTCATATTATCATCGCGAAATATCTCCCCTCTTATACTCTTCTCTCTATGTCTATGCATACACGAGGAGTTCTTTATTGTATATTTATAATAGAAAAAATTAGACTACTCTCAACGCAGAAGTGTTCTCTCTGGAAAGTCACACAATCCTATTTTGTCATGAGAAAAGATTCATGATGTTCATTAGAGAAGACACGTGACTAAAAACGTTAGCATTGAAGATCTTCTTGAGACTAGAATCAGATTCATTGTTTGAACACTCTTTTATCTTTAAAAAAAAACAAAAAAAAAACATTTCTCATCTGATAAAGTAAAAAATACCCTACCTTATATTAATGTCTAAACATCTTGATGACATTGATCGAATAAAGTGGCATTATAGATGGTTAATAATATATAAGTGTAGAAAATATCTTATCTTGATTGAAAATTCGTCTCTTACGTGTTCACTTGATCCAGCATAAATATGAATGAATTATTTAAAGAAAAAAAAAGTGATAACGCGTGCCTATGGATATTAATTTTATTAATATTATTATTAGTACTGCACTACGATTGTGTCAATAAGACATTTTTTTTGCGTGTCTGATCTACTTAGTTTTCCTTTTCTTCTCCTGTGTCTATACGTATACCAATAATGATCTATAAGACAAAAGTTCAACATAAAAAGAGCGGAGGCCATATTTCTGAGACAATATTTCGAAGTTAGATAGATAGATGTAAAAAAAAGAGAAAAACAACACAAGAGATTGTTAGAGAGAAAACGCAGATAGAGATTAAAGAAGGAGAGTATTTTTTAGATTTGCATGCATTATCCGGTTTTTTTTGTGTATAAAAGATTATTCTGATATGCATTTGCATATAAAAGCAAATAAAAGACAGACGAAACATGACACAATAAAATACCATAGTTAAACAGTAGCTTCTGTTCATATTAACTGTTATATTATTATTATTACTACTATTATCATTCAGCTACCTGTTTAAAGATGATTATCTGTCATAACAACAACATTATATATGAGTATAAATTTTTTTTTAATTATCTGAATGAAAACTTAAAAAATTTATTTTCTATCTAACAATTTACTTTATAATGATTGTCTCACTATAATTCTGTAATTTACCTTAATAATATGAATTGTACAATATACCAAAATTTGTAACAGTTCAATGACAATTTTTATATTTAATATTTTGGACGATGTATTACATTTGCAAAAGTTAATACTATATAGCCTAACATATCACGCTAACCTTAGGGAAATCTATATATGATTATATACATACAGCAAAGCTGTGATTGACATTTCTTACACCATATTCTGCTACAGTCGAATCTGTTAATGTTATGTGTTCAATTAACATGGACTTTGACATTGAACCAATTGACTATAAAAAAAATTATGAAAAAATAATATAAGATACAATAAAATAATTAAGTCAGTTTATTTTTCTCAATAAACATAACAAAATAGTATTATTCATAAAGAACAAAACAAAAAAAAAAAATGAAATTAATTTTATCATAGAAATTTGACAGCTACCCAGAGGAATTTTATCGGAAAACTTACTATAGCATCTTGCGAAACATATAATTGTTTATCAAACAATTGAAAATAACGTCGTTTCCATCGCTAAATAAAAAAGTCATTTAATTAAAATATAAAATTATCTAAAATAATAGTATTGTCAAAAAAATTCATCTACTACTTTTATCTAGCTAATTAAAATACATTTCAAATTATGATGACAAATCAGAAGAAGAAAAAAAAAGTCTAGTTGCTTCAAGTGACTTTGAAATGACCTCTTTATTTTGTCATTTTAATTTCCGAATGCATATGACAGTTTTCTTTTTTTTTTCATTTACATAAGGTCTCATTTTTGCACTCATATATACGCATATACACACATACCGGGACTGGTGGTGACCAACTCGCTTTGAATAGATATCCCTGTTTTGTACATATCTTAAATAATTCATGTGAAACTTGAGTAGCTAGTTTTGATTAGATATCTAACTAAATATTACCAATTTATTGTGATTCGTATTTTCTTTTCTGAAACTTTGTATAATGTCAATCTCATTTTCTTTTTGTTTTGTCTCATAATGATTATAACATGACGATTTGTTTCTATGTCTATTGATCATCTTACGTAGTTGAGAAATATCACTTCATCGCAAGCCACTCTGTCTTAATAAAAGAAAAACATTAATAATTATCATATCAATCCATCTGCCATGCATAGATTGCAAGTGTGTAAGACATTAGTAAATTTTTTAGATTATCGTTTGAAGTTTACTACCAGATAAAAACGTCGTGTTTATTCTAAATGTTCTAAAAAAAACATATTTCTTGTGCGGGAAAAACGCAAGTTCTTTTTTCAACTTTCTTGACACAAGACTATTTTTACTTTTTTCATATTTTTTGAATCTGTTTTGATCATTCGTGTAAAATAATTTGAAATTTTGATTTTATTCTTTCAACGTATCTATGTTGGCCCACTTGCCTATCGATCCTTTTGCAAACTCTTGATGTTTGTCATTTCAAACTAAGAATCTTATAGAATATCGTATATATATTCAAGATTCTTCGAAGAAATTTTTGTCTGGAAATTGCAGTCAAGAATTTGCGAGAAGACTGTCTCTTTGACCGAAATTACAAAATATAGTTTTCAAGGAAAATTTGTATCTTATATTTCTTGCAAGAATCTGTTAATTGTGAGAATGTTTTTAATATATTTTCAATTTCGTTTTCTTTTGCATATACAGAAAGAGACTAGATACATACCACTAAACAGTAGATATAACAAAATAACACAATTACCTCTTTAGAGTCATGTTGGAAATGAAAATTTTCTTTATATTCTTATAATTCATTATCTTCCAACTCGCATTTTTTACAAGTTTGAACAAGTTTTTTAACATGCTTCAACTATAAAAATGAAGCAATTTAAGATATAAAATCAAAGTAAAGCAATATAGAACCATTAGAAAATTAGAATTGAAGAAAGTCAAACTCTGTTTGCTATTTTTATCACACTATTGAGCGACTATTTTCTCAAACGATTCCAGTAGATCAAAAGAATTGTATTCTTAAACAATCCATCGAATCTAC